GTTCCGGCGCCTGCCTTGCAAGTGCAAGGTCCCGAGTTCGATCTCCGGTACCAAAAACAAACAAAACAAACAAACAAAAAAGTGACTTGGACTTCTTATTTATTTACTGGTTTTTCGTTTTTGTTTTCATTTTTTGAGACAGGGTCATACCATGTAATTGATGCTGGCCTCTGACTTGTGGTAAGCTTCTGCCTCAGCCTCCCAACTGCTGGAATTGCAGGCCACTATGCCCATATTTTAGTCAGGCATCTCGCTTTCCCCCTAGCCTCTGAACATTGGTCTGCCCTTGAACTTAAGTGAGAACTGGGACCTTAACCAATGGACCATGTGGAATCTCTCCTTCCCCTTTATATCCCTTCCCAAGAATCTATGGGTTGAAACCTTTTCTGTTCAAGTGCTTGATCACCCCACTGTCCATGCCCAGTTATTTCCAGTTGTGCTGTGCTTCTCCCCATAAAAGAAAACCCTTTAGGCTTCATGTCAAGCCACTGGCAGACATGGAGATGGCAGTTGGTCTTTTTGAATAAATTCTCTCCTTACCTAAGGCCAGATTTGTTTTTTATTTGACAGACACATAGGATTTCATTTATTAATCCTTCTGTTTTTGTATATATTTGAAAATTTCCATAATGAAAAGTTTTAAAGTAATATATGGTGACATTTGAAGAAAGTTTCTGAAAGAACAGAAAAACAATCAAGTCGCTGGCAGACAAGCAGATTCCAACAGAAGGAGAAAAAGAAGCAAACAAAAAGAGTAATAAACATAAAAAAAGAAAAATAATGTGGTACAACTAAGCCCCAGTACACGTCAGTATCCCACCACAAACAGACACTCAGAGAACCCATTACATTGAACTAAAATAAGCCAATGGTAAATCAGACCCCAAGAACCTCACACAAATCTCCTTTATCATGCTCATATTCTTCCAACTCTGATATAATTTGTGTTTGGGATTTTTTTTTTAAGGTACTCTGGATTGAACCTGGACCTTCACAGTGAGTTACATTTTAAATTTCGAGACAAGGTCTTGCTAAGTCACTAACCAAAAGCCAAAAGTTGCTCAGGTTGGGCTTGAACTTGTGATCTTCCCAGAGTGGTGGGATTACAGGCATGTGTCATCACATCTGGCATGTGTTTGGGAATTTTTGAGGGTCTGAACTAAAGAGACTTTGGAGATCTGAGTAAATGTCATTTTAGTTGAGGAAACACATTCAGATAGGTAAAGCCACCTACTCAGAGCTATGTATTAAATGAATATTTGGAGAATTGGAAACCAGATCTTCTCCCAATCCAAAAAACTGTTTTTCCTAATCACCTGTGTCTCCCAATTTATCAGCAATGGGATGTAAGATTAGTCTAGAGATGTTCTCAATCATATGCGGAAGCTAAAAGAGTCAACCTCATAAAATTAGGGTAAAATACCATATCTAGACACTGGGAAAGGTAGAGTGGAGGGAGGTTAAAAGGAGGTCAGGTAACAGGTAGCAAAATACAGTTAGGAGAAGCAAGTCCTAAACATGACAGGATGAATATAGTTTATAAAAAGTAGATATTTTATGAAGAACTAGGAGACAGTCAGGTGTTTCCAGCAAAAGAGGGAAATGCCAAGTACTGTGATTTGATCATTGCTCATTGTATGCATGTATTGAATTTTTACACTGTACTCCATACATATGTATAATTATTATGTCAATTGAAATTATGAGACAGAATTTCATCAGATTTAAAAATGTGCCTCAGAGACAGTAAAAGACCTGTATGGGGGTGGGGCAATTATTTCATACTCTGCTGGTGGACAGCGGGAGGAGCCTTGGGAACAATTTTTCAAGACCTACAGACATGCGTGCATTGAAAAAGGCCTGGAGAGACATAGAGCAAACTATGAAGAGTGATCATCTCCTCCAGAGTGAGCTGAGAAAGAGGCTGTAAAAAGAGATTTTTTAAAATTTCGTAGCGCTTTGTTCATAATTTTCTACTGGGAATATGTTCACACTTGATTTTTTTTTTTTTTTTTTTTGGTACGGGGGATTGAAAATTCAAGGTTCATCCAGGGGATATGGCTGTGGATCTCTGCAGGTACTTTTCGTGTGAGACTTCTTTGTCCTGCTGGCCTGATGCCTCAGTGTTGCTAGTTTAGATCTGGAATGCCCCTCAGAGGCCCAAGTGTAAAGGCTTGGTCACTAGCTGTGGAGCTATGGAGAGGTGGTGAGGCCTAGTGAAAGGAAATGAGGTACTGGAGTGTGCCCTTGAAGGAGATATATTGGGGCCCAGGCCTTTTCCTGTTTTTTTCTTGGCTTCCTGAACACCCTAAGGTGAGTAGCCTCCTCTGCCAATACTTCCAGCATGGTGTCTTGCCTGCCAATGCCCCAAAACAATGTGGTCAATAGACCATGGACTGAAACCTCCGGAACCAAAAGATAAGATAAACCTTTCCTCTTTTTAATGTTGGTTATCTAAGGTATTTTGTCATAGCAACTGAAAGCTCATGTGGTGTTCCTCTCACAGGAACCTTGTTTATGGTGGTAGGTTGCCTGGTGGCTCTAGTCTGACCTGATCCATTTCCTACCAGGAGAGCCCTTGCTGGAAGGAGGTTAGGTCCAGGGGAATCAGTCAGGTGAGACACAGAGAGGCAGCATAGTGAAGCATGTAAAATATAGAAGCATGTTATTACTCACAGGTCTGTGAGAGAAGAGGGGTGCCTAGTGGGGCTGTTGGGAAGTCCAAAGAAAGTAGAACCGAAGCCTTTATAGGGAGGATCCACATACTGAAGCAGTTTCCCTTGAGGAAGTCTATTTGTGAGTTTAGAGCTAGTGGACAATGAGTGAGTTCCATGGGGTCATTCTGTCATCAAGAGGTGGTCACTGCAGCACAGCTGTCCGGTCCACGTGGGGATGGAAGCCTATGGGATGAGCCAAGGGGGTTGCACATCTGTTCCATAGGGAGGTCACAGACAGTGGCTGTAGAGGACAGCTGTTTGGATGGACCACCCAGACACTCTGGTAGGAGGTGGAGAACTGGGACCTGAACTAAGGGTTAGGAAGCTCTGGTCTGGTCTGAGAAGGTCCAATTTACATTTCCATTGGATGCTGAGGCAACATAAAATTACAGAATTTACCATGTTCTTCCTTACAAAATGGCCCTGTAACAGGGCTCTGAGTCTCATTGGTAGAAGCAGTTAAAGGTAAGAGAGGGAGAAAGGGAGAAAAAAAAGGAGGGAGGGAAGGGGCAAACAGGCAGGCTGCTGCAAACCACAGGGAAGTACTGCCTTCACTTTGCACACAGAAATAAACGAGTTGGCAAGGCATATTTCAGTGATGGGACTGGTTTTCAGGGTGAGAAAGGGTACTTACAGGATAGCCTGACAATCTACTGCCCTACTCAACCCCCAGAGACAGGGTGCTCTTCCTGTGCCTCAGCAAGGGAGCCACTGAGACTATAGAACCAGGACTTCCTTGTGGGGTTAGATGTGGCCAGATGAGCTGAATGCCATGTACACTGCTCCCTGTGTGTCCTGTAGGGAGACTGGAGTCACAGCCACAAGGCAGCCAGGCAGCAGGAGGAAGGCTGGTGTGGGTGAGAGCAAGGACAAACCGGATTCACGTCCATGTCTCACACATGTAGATACCATCAGCATAGTAGGCTGTGTGTAGGCTGAGGGTGGCTCTGTAGGGTAGCAGCTTCAGGAGCCACAGGTCTGTGAGCAGTGATCAGGTGCTGCACTCTGATGCCCTGCCTTGGCCTTCAGAAGGTAAGGTAAGCATATACCTTTTCACTTCTTTCCCAACCAGGGAAAGAAATCCTGGAAAAGTGGCCCCAGCTTCGGTATAGGAACACAGTCCAGTACCACCATACTCACCTGGAGTCTCAGAGTGACTGAGTGCACCTCTCAGTGAAGACAAAATTGCCAGGTTTGTTTCCCTGGAGTTTCTGGGTTTCCCCATAGCAAGGCAGCAAGTGGATAAATTCTGTTGGGTCCATCCAGTCCCCCAGGCAGTAGAGCATGGTGGCTCCACTGTGAACCCAGGAACCAAAGAGCTGAGTTTGAATCCTGATTCAACTTATTCTTTGGATCTCTGTGCCCTTGGGTGAAGGCTTCTAAGCTCCCTGGGCCTGTTTCTCCATCTTTGAAATGGGCATAAAACATCTCATGTTATTACATCTTGTTAAAGTTTCATAAAACTGTCCCAGGCCTGAAACTTCATGGGGTTATTGCAGAGCACCCACCTACCCAGTCTATTTTCCAAGCCTGAATTTTAGTGATTCCATGAGCCACTGCCACTCATAGCCTCTTCTCAACATATTCAATGTTTGCTCATCAGTGAGTGTGGTCCTGTTGCTTAATGAATAAAGACTTTCCACCATATGGCAAATGCAGGTAGCGGAGTGATTTTCTGTTCTGACTGAGCAGGGGGTGAGCACTTGGCCTTAGGCTATTTTCTGGTGTCATTAGTACCTAGCACTTGAGAACCTTGTCTCCACCCCTTGAAAGGACTAATGCTGTGTGAGCCATCAACCCCTTGCACATGTCTGCTCTCAGCCTCCTCTCATTGCTTTGAGCCTTGCACACCTATCAGGTTGCCCTGTGGCCTGCTGGGGGGAGTATACTTTCCCTTTGGTGATGAGCATCAGAATCTTGCCATGGAGTCAAGTTGCTGGCTTTAGCTTCTTAGTAAGTGAAGGTCTAGCGTACATCACCCTGGGGTGAACATCTCGTCCAGAATGACTTTCTTGCTCTTTGCTCAGGGCACCGTTGCTGCTGAACTCAGAAAGAGGACCTCAGCAGAATTTGGTTCAGTCTGGCTCTTTCAGTCATGTTTGTTGTTTTTATTTTGGTACTGGGGATCGAACTCGGGTCCCTGCGCTTGCACAGCAGATGGCGAAACCACTGAGCTAAATCCCTGGCCTCAGTCATGCTTTGTAACGACATGGGAGGCTGGCAAAAATCAGCCTTATTCATGACTGAAGATGTGGAGGCATTCACAAAATGCTAGGAAAACCATTTACTGTTCCTTTTTAATTTTATTTTTTTGGTACCAGAGACGGAACTTGGGACCTTGGACTTGTGAGGCAGCTGTGGTGCCACTGAGCTAAACCCCTGGCCCCCCACTGTTCATTTTTTAAAGCTCACAACTTTCATTGTGTACCAGGAACACCCCTCTTGCAAACAATCTGCTTTTTCTATTTTCTTAACATTCCAGTTATTAGCCAGCCACGATGTCCATCTCCCATGGGCCCTGACCTACACCTCTCAAGCCAGTTCCCTGGGCTGCTGTCCTTTACCTCGGTGTTCCCCCAGGCAGAGGTCTGCAGGGCCAGTCTATCTGAGCCCTTTAGTGTTATGTTCTGAGTGCCTCATGGCAGCCGAGGGACTTGCAAAAGACAGCATTTTAGAGAATCAGCAAATTGAAGACTTAAACTTAAGGCAGACAACTATAACTTAAATAGCAGGTTGAACAGTGTTTTTACGAGATGGTGTTATGTTTTTGTGTACACAGCACACAATGTTTAACACATTTTATACATAAGCATACAACAGTCTTATGCAAAAACTTTAGACTTCTCCAAATGAATAACAAAATAAAATAGAATAAAATAATAAGATAAAGAGGGGCACAGATCCATAGCCCACCTAGAATTCTAACAGAATGGGAAGACATTAAGGGCCAATTTTTCTTAGAGCTACACTGACCACAAAAGCAGGTCATCAAAGCTGATTGTTGACAGAGGCAACAATGGCTGCTTTTATCCCAGACACCTTGGCGACATGGAGCCACAACAGTATGCTTGAGAACACACACACACACACACACACACACAGGAAGTCTATGCAAGTCAGAAATTCATGGAATTACAAGCTAATTACAATAAATGGAAGAGGGCTATCCCCATACAAGGGGCTCACAATTTGGCCCTGTAAAATGGCAAATAGTGTTACAGTAACATTGTAAACTAACAATTCAAATACGAAAAACACGTCAAACACAACAAATAATTACTGAACTTTTATATAAAGTTATCAGAAAACCCAGGAACTGATTTTATGTCACAAAATGGTCCATAACGCCCAAAAATGTCTTTTGACTGGACAGTAAAATAGTATCTGGTGGAAGCAAAAAACTCTGATAAAGTACAGGCCATCGGGAGTGGTAAAGCTTTAATTTCTCCAATTTTTTTCCAAATCGACTTATCATTAGTGTTCTTGTGGCATAGGAACAGGTGGTAGCTTTCCACAGGAGCACACCTGGGGTCGATCTTGGTGATGTTCCAGGTTAGGGCAATGGCCATGGGTCTTAGCACCCACTTCACTTTCAGCTCAGGCTTCTGGGGAGGGAGCGTGTCTCCAATTTTGTCCACCAGTTCAGGCGGTGGTGGCAATGGTACTGGGAGAGGTGGCAGGTGGTCAAATGAATCCAAATCCTAAAAACACATTTGTATAAAAAAGCTTAGGAAGCTGGTTTGATGGGCTTGATCATTTCAACGTAGTCAACTGCAGTTGTATAATTATATTTCCTATTCTTCCATCCTATTATCAAAATGATAAAAGGATATTTCAAGAATATGTGAAGTTGGATCCAGTTGTTTTAAGCATGAGGTCTTTTTGGCATTAACATTTCTACACTGGAATTTCACGATCTCAGAACAGGACAGCTCTCAAACATTCTGGATAAATATCCCATCTCACTTCCAAATTGTGTTCCCAAACAGTATACTCATTTATGCAAAAAGTGTAAGTGGGCAAGAGCAGCTGTTTCCCTGTACCCTCATCTACAATGGCAATAACTCTTAAAATTCTTGATTTGTTGGGTGAAAAAATGTGCTTGTTTTAATTTCTCTAGCTTCTGGAAAATTGAGGTGAATTATTTAAATTGTGTATATAAACAGATTAACAATAGTACATGTAAAAAAGCATTAAAGGTGACCCAAATGTTTCTTTAAGAGTAAAAGTTACTTCCCTCTCAATTTTGAATGAATGTCCTTACACAGCATTTTGTGTTAGTACCTCGGTTGCATTTTCTGCCACCAGAGTTATTTCTTTTGAGTTTAAAACAGGCTTCAGAGGTGACTCCAGGGTGAATACTGGACTTTCTGTGAACAACATAAGGTTTAAGAAGTAAAATTTAGGACTAGGGGTTTAGCTCAGTGGTTGAGCACTTGACTAGCATGTGTGAGGCCCTGAGTTTGATTCTCAGCACTGCAAAAACAATAAAATGAGAAACAAAGTTTATCTGCAACAATCAGTTTCATAGCCTTTTAGCAAATAGTTTAGATTTTGGTTGGTATATTAAATATGAATTAAAATTACAAAACTGAAATATGGTGATATACACATAAAAAATTTTCCTTTAAGGTAACAAAATTCCTTAAGGGAAACCCCTCAGTCATTATGCAACTGGGAACTAGGCATTATTCACTCAGGGGAGAGGGGTCCCTGCTCAGTGACACACATGGAGAGTCTTTCCTGTTAGACCAACAAAAATGCCTACGAGCACAGGGCCATACCTAATCACATGAATACATGGGACACACAAGGTCTGGGAACTCAAAATAAAAATAAAAATCCCACAGGCTAGGATTAGAGAAATCTCTACATTCACCAGAAGGGGAGGAGGTATAAATTGTGGGCTGGCAAAAGGGAGAGGGGAGTAAGGAGAAAGATTGTGGGAGAACAGGGCCAGGGATTTAGCTCAGTGGTTCCGTTGCCTGCCTCGCAAGCACAAGGTCCTGAGTTTGATCCCCGATACCAAAAAAAAAAAAAAATTGTGGGAGAACAGAAGAGAGGAAGAAGAGGAACAGGTGGGAGGGAGACAGCTGTGAGAATGGTTTAAAAGCAACTGGGCAGAGTGTATATGGGGATGGTTAAGAAAAGGGGACTCACGTTGGAAAGCATGAGGACTGGGTGGCTAGAAGTTCCAGAGGCTGAGTCCAGCCCTGCCGGTGGGTGGGTGGGTGGGGGCTTTTTAGAAGAGCTAATGACTTTAATTCTAAGAGTTTTTCAACACTTTTATATTGTTTAATTAATTAGAACTAGATTTGTAAAATTATGACCTGCAAATTAACATCCTATAAGACGTGATACAACTTCCTTTGAGTTTTAAAGTAAACAGATATAAAAGAACATTTTAGGAAATGTGATCTTCCTATAAATAACATTTTCTATTTCAAGGTAATTACTCAACAGGCTCTTGGAAAATTAAGACAAGACACACTCAATTTTGTGCTAATAAGAGAAAATCAGGACTTTCCCTTAGCCCAGTTGATGTTTTATTATTAGTGATGTCAGTTTTATACTTTCCAGCTCTTTTCTATACAAAAATGTGTAATGATGACTTCAGTGCTTTGTATTCTCAAACTGCAGCAGCCAGCACCCTATTATTTTAAGGTTCCTTATTAAATTGCTGGAGAAAAATTGTGCTTTCAACGTAACCCTATGGTGTTTGACCTTCAGATCCTAAGCTTGCATGTGCATGCACATGTGAACACACAATCCATCCATTGTTAATGTTAAGTTTGCATTTTTGAAAAGACCTATTCAGAGATATAATCTACATACAATAAAATGAACCCATTTTAAGTGGGTAATTCTTTAAGTTTTGACAAATGCATACATTTTTGAAACCATCACGAAAATCAAGACATGGAATATTATCACCCAAAAGTTCTTAAGAATCGCTTCTATCATTCCTTCTCACCTGTGTGTGAAGGTCCATAAGACCACACTGGTTTATTGTCACAAAAGATTATATTTAGGGCCAAGGGTATAGCTCAGTTGCAGACTGCTTGCCTAGCATGTACAAGGCCCTGGTTTGATTCCAACCTCCCAACTCCCAAACACAAAATTAAGTTTCTCTTTTCTAGGATTTCACATAAATTGAATCACATAAGGTACATGATTCTTTTGCCCAGCATAATATTTCTGAGATTTATACATTAGTTGTATATATCAATATTTTGTCCATTTTTTGGTTGAATGGTTAACTGCGGACATGCAATATAGACGGCAATATAGTAATCTATTCATTTGTTGTACACAGGCTGTTTCTGGGCTATTATGACTAGAGCTATGATCACTTGTATAAAGGTCTCTGTGTGGATGTAGGTTGTAATTTCTCTTGTGTAAATACATAAAAGAATGAATTAAGAGTCACATAAAAACAGTGTAATTTTTTGGGGGGATGTTATGGCTTGTGTTTAGATGTCCCCCTAAAGCCTCAAGGTGGGGATTTTTTAGAGGTGATGATCTAGAGTGTGTGATGCTAGAATTGATTCATTGTGCAATGCTAAGCCTGCGAGTACTAGGATTAAGGGTCTGAGTGCTACCTGCTCTAAGTAGTCTGAATAAGATAAAGAGGCAGAAAGACAGTGTTAAATTCCCTTGCTTGCTTGCTTTTGGCGTCTTCTACTGCCATGAACTGTTGCTTCTCTGCCATGTGCCACTCTGTCATGGAGCCAGCTGATTACAGACTGAAACCTCTACAAACTGTGAGCTAAATAAACCTTTTCCCCCTTAACTTGGGATATTGGATATTTTGTCTCAACAAGGAGAGAAAAGTAACTAAGACAAGGAGTATGGGAAGTGAACCCAGGGCCTTTACACTAATCTAGAAACCAGCTCATTTTTAAAAAACTTTTTTGATTCAAGGTGTTATGGCTTGTATCTAGATGCCCCCCACCCCCAAGGCCTCACACACTCATAAGTGGTGCTTTTACATGTGTGTGAATACTGGTTAGGGGTGCATGATGATTAAACTAGTCCACTAACTGGTTTAACATAGTTCTAGGTGTGGATAATGGGAAGCCCCGCCCTGATTGTGGGTTACACCCATCATTAGGCTACTGGCACCCACCAGTAGCCTGAATAGAGTAAAAAGGAAAGGGAAAGCTTGCTGTTGGCTGCTTTTTGCTTGCCCTGCCAGGGACTGTTTCTCCTTTGCCATCCTGCACTGCCTTGCAGCCAGCTGACTATGGACTGAAATCTCTACAAACTGTGAGCTAAAATAAACCTTTCCTCCTTTAACTTGTGGGTGTTGGGTATTCCCAGCAATGAAAAAGTAACTCTAAGACACAATGTCTTGCCCAGGATGGGCTTGAACTGCAATCTTCTTGCCAAGGATTCCAAAAGTGCTGGGATTACAGCACCATGTTTGGCTTAATGTTTTAACAAACTGTGAAACTATTTAACTGGTTTTACCATTTTACATTCTAACTTAAGAGTGTAAGAATCCGAAGTTGCCTCATATCTCTAGAAACACTTCATATTTTCAGTTGCTTTCATTTGGCTTTTTCTACTGGATATGTTACAGTATCTTATTGATTTTGTTATGACAATAATGTTGAGGATAATCTTGTGCTTACCTGCCATCCTCTCATCTACACTGAAATGTCCTCTGCTTGTTCTGGGTTTAATTTGTTCTTCTTTCAAAAAAATGTAAGACTATTCATTTTAGGCCTTCTATTTTTTCTAACATAAACACTTAACACTAATAATTTCCCCTTCTTCACTGTTCAGCTGAGTAAAATTTTAAAATAAAAAATTTTGAAATACGATGCTTTTATTCATGGATTATTAAAAGTGTGGATAGTTTCCAAATACTTAGGGATTTTCCAGCTATCTTCCTGTTATAGATTAGTTTTTTGGGTTCTTTTTGGTCAAAGAACATACAGTATTTTGATTGAGTATAATCTTTTACACATACAAAAACTTGCTTTATGGTCTACTAACCTAATCTCTTATTTCACTTCAAAGATCTGATTTGGGTTGAGTATTCCACAAATGTTAATTAAGGTTATGTACATGAATAGCTCAAACTGTGACAGTCTTACTGACTTTGTGTCTACATTTTTTTTCTCAAGTACTAGGGATTGGACCCAGGACCTTTGTACTGAGCTATATTCCCATCCCTTTTTTATTTTGAGATAGGGTCTTATTTGTTGCAAAGTTGTATTCACAGGGTTTGAACTCATGATCTTCCTGTTTTAGCCTCCTAGGGTGCTGGGATTACAAACCTGTGTCACCAAGCCCAACTCTGTCTACATATTAACTACTGAGAAGGGGTTTGGGTTATCTCCAATTATAACTGATTTACTATTTATCCTTTCAGGACTATCAAGTTTTGCATCAGGGATTTAAAGTGTTACTGCAAAGTGCATACACTGCTTTACTGTTATAAAAAAGCCTTATCCCTGGTAATATTCCTTATTCTCTGCTGTCCAATAATAACACAGCCACTCCTGCTTTCTCAGGACTACAGTTTGCATGCTTTTGCATGGTTAGCTTCTTCCATACTTTTAATTTTAACTTACCTGTATGTTTATATTTAAAATACATCTCCTACAGTTAACAGATAAGCCTTGTTTTGTTTTCTAGTTTAACAATGCTTTTCCAGAGTATACAGACCATTTACCTATATTATCAAAATGGTTGGATTTAATTAGTCTCATCTATTCTTTGTCTTTTTTGTAGCTTCTCTTAGATTGAATATATTTAAAATTTTATTTTATCTCCACTATTGGTTATTATTCATATTTCTACCCTAGGCATTATCATATGTATCTTTAACTTATTATATAGTCTATCTCCTAATGACACTATTCCACTCTCATAAAATGACCGTATACTTCCATTCCTCAGGCCATCTTTTGTACTATTGTTATCACACATTAAGATATATGTATTATAAACTACACAGTATGGTGTTATATCCTTTAGATCTATTATCCATCTCATATCACTTAAGTTTCATTGGACCACTTTATTTCTGATAGTGAAGACCTGCTGGCAATAAATTTTGCTCATCTAAAAAAAGTATTAATTTTGTTTCTCTTTTTGAAAGATATATTTGTTTGGTTTTATTTTGGTGGTACTGGGGATTGAACTCAGGACCTTGCACTTTCAAAGCAGGCGGCCCTGAAAGATGTATTTGTTAGATACAGAATTCTAGGTTGAGAACCAGGGATTTAGCTCAGTGGTTCTGGTGCCTGCTTCGCAAGCACAAGGACCTGAGTTCGATCCCTGGTAACAAAACAAACAAACAAACAAACAAACAAACAAAAAAAGAATTCTAGGTTGACATCTATTTTCCCACAAGCTCTTAATAAGTTTGGCTTAACATCTCTTGGCTTGCACAGTTCTTTGTTCTTCTACCCATATTGTACAGCATATCTTCATTTTTTTCTATCACTGATTTCAGGAATTTGATTATATGTGTTTGTTATGATTTTCTTGGTGTTTGTCCTGCTTGGAGTTTATTTAACTTCTTAAGTATCTGGGTGTATACTCATTAATTTTTTTTTTTTTTTTTTTGGTACCAGGGACTGAACTCAGGTCCTTGCACTTGCAAGGCAGGCATGGTACCACTGAGCTAAATCCCTGGCCTGTATACTCATTAAATTTGAATGAGACCCTAGAATGGAGTTCTAGACCCAGATAATAGTACTATACCTCTTTTTGCTTAAATGGAGAGGGCACTGTTGTTACTCTTTCTCTATAGTTTCATATCATATACACAAAATAACATGTTCATACACTGGTGTTTCTGTTTTAGGATGCCTTCTTCCAGGTACTTCTGTTATGATTAAGGGAAAGAAAATAGTCCTATAGGGAAAAAGGAGATTCATGACAGCCCCAACCAAGATAGATGTCTTTCTAAAAATGAATGTATAAACAAATTGTGATACATTCATGTCATGAGCTATTAGTGAAAAAAAATACCAAAACTACTGATATACAATATATAGCAACAGGCTGGGTGGGGGTGACACATGCCTGTAATCCCAGAATTCTGGGAGACTGAGGCAGGAGAATTGAAAGTTTCAGTCTATCCTGGGTAACTTAGCAACTAAGTGAGACCCTGTCTCAAACTAAAAAAAAATTGAAAAGGGCTGGTTGTGTGGCTCAGTGTGATGGTGCTGGGTTCAATACCTACTACTACCAAAAACAAAGACACATAGAAGATCCTCAAGAGAATGACGCTAAGTAAAAGAAGCCAATCTCAGAAGGATGTATGTTGCATCATCACATTTATATAGCAGTTGTGAAGTAACACCATTTATTATAGTGATGAAGAGCAGATTAGTGGTTGCCTAAGATTAGAGGCTAAGGAGCAGGAGGTAGGTGTAGCTACAGTAGCTATATAGAGGTAGCAGTGACATGAATTGTGGCAGTTACATGAATCTAAATATATGATGAAACTACATTAAACTATAAACACATATACACTAATACAAACTTCCTAAGTGGGACCAGAACATCTGAGTTAGTATCCTTCTCGGTTTCTTTCTTTTTTTTTTTTTGGTACCAGGGATCAAACTCGGGTCCTTGCGCTTGCGCAGCAGGTGGTGAAACCACTGAGCTAAATCTCTGGCTCCTTCCCGGTTTCTTAACAAAGATTTAAAAAACCCTTTACCTGTGTTGCAGTTGGATAGGATTTCTTTTGTCAAATCAATAACAAAATCACTTTTCTTCTTCTCTAGAGCCTAAAAGGTTATTATTAAAAAAAGTATGCCTTTAGCAGTACAAAGTTTTTAAAAAATAAGACACATAATTTTAAACCATTTTAAGAAATTATTTCCTTCCTTCCTTCAAGTGTTCTACTACTGAGCAACACAAACCTACAGCCCTAATTAACATTTAGTTTAATTGAACTCTACTGTAAAAAGATAAGCTTATAAAAAGCTTGACGGTATCTGAGAATATGACCAAGGAAGTCTAAATGAAGTGGTAAAGAAGTATGATTACAAAATATCTTTATCATTAGTTTTCTGCTCATCAATGTGTAAATTGGTTATGCTAACAGCCAGTAATTTGACATACACACACAAACTGGGTCACAAACAGGAGAGGGTCCGCTGCTGATAATAATTACCACTTCCTGCCAACCTAATCAAAAAGTGAATGACAAAAGAAAACAACATGCAACAACATTAAAGTTTTTTTTTTTTGTACCGGGTATCGAACTAGGGACCTTGCACTTGTGAGGCAGGTGGCGGAACCACTGAGCTAAATCCCCGGCCCAACATTAAAGTTTTTAGCAGTAACATTTAAATAAACAATATTCAGAGACAATAATTATTACCTACCTTAACTTCAATTATATCATTAGGTAACTTGCTGGAATTTGTTGATTTAATTGTTCTAATATCTAAAAGAAAATTATTAAAACATGAATATATTTGATAAGTTTAAACTATTAAATATTTATGGACTTTGTAATGTAAAATGCTGAAACACAAGAATGAAGTGCTAATAAAGAGTTAATTATGTAATCATAAAGTAACTGAATAGAATACCTATTTTAAAAATTGATAATCTATTTAAATTAATTTGAGATTAAAAGACTTCTTTTTGTAACTTTACAACTATACTAGTAACTTTTTTGAAAATTTACCTGGAAATTATTTTAATAAAAATAAAAAATTGCAGAAAAATATAGTATTTTTTTACTCCCAGTAT